TATATATATAATGTGGATCGGTTATGATAATATGTTTAGATACTCATATACATCCTGTCCATCTCATACCTGCAACACTCTGTAACTGGTAGTTTTCGATACATTGCGGATAGAAGGACACACTCCAGGCAGTGAAGTAGAGCCACCCAATGATTGTACTTATAGTCTGAACCCACGAGTGCTTGACCACACTCACAGCCACCGCGCCCAGAACCACGCCGATCTCGTTCCCTCTCAAGCTGTATGGCAACAAAAAGCGTATGTGAGCTCTATATATAGATTGGGTTGATAGGTATACTTTTGCACACGGAAAGAAAAGCGTTTTGTATTCTTAAGCTGATATACCACTAACCGATGAGTCACTTTCAATGTGCATCAGTGACCATTTGGCTATTTAACGGGCAGCAACTACGTCCACCGCTCATATAGACACGCCCGTTAGAAGAACCGGAAAAGGAAAACTCGAGAGAATCAAGTTGATTCGCTTGCTAGAATATACCAAAATACTATATGTATGAATACTATATGTATGCAATAAATGTAATATAGAAATACACGTATACAACTATGGCCGTTGTCTCTCATAGAGACGCGGTCGAGGTTCAGCAGCAAAGCAAATGACTCACGCTTTCAAACCCCATCTCAACAACGGTATGTGCACTCAACCAGTGTCAGACACAACGGCGTGGCCTAGTAGGCGATGGTGTCCCACGGTACTACTATAACTAAAGTTAACGGAAATATCAACGGCATCCCTCCTTGGCTCAGTAGCACTGTAAAAAAACAGACTCTGCAACAGACGTTTTGCATAAACGTTCCCCATACCGAGACCACCTATGTCAAAAACTCGGAGGAGCATAGTAACTAGCATAGGAATAAATCGAACACTACCACTATACACAACGGGACCGAAGCAACAATGCCAATACTCTCGAATGCATCACTAAGCAGCACAGAAAGTGTTGTAGCGGATATGCCCACCATGAAACACACTTATGTGATCACGGTGTACTACTTGTACACTGCAAGAAACTACGGGTCAATAACATCAGAGAGCCGCTAAAAGCACCTCACCGGGTTGTCCTGGGGCATCGCAACTATCACTTCGCCGCCCGCGCAATGCTTTCATTAGGACATCCTCATGCTTAAGCTCAAAACAACGGTACAAACTACATGTATTTCACCTGTAGACACACCTGATTTTGCCAGTTCCGTACTCGGCTGCTATCACCGTCACAGGCACAGCAACACTCTTGCCCGCCGGCAGAGTCACTTCAGTTGTCTGTATAGTAGTAAACAGTGGATATTACTTCATATGAGTTCAGATACGTCTGAATTAAACATCTCTGATTATGCACTAAACCCTTGAACCCTACACCCTAAACCCTACAGCCATAAGAAGAGAAAGTCTGTCCGAAATACTTCTGTGAGGAGTGCGAGTTTGAGCTGTTGATATAGCCTACTCGCACGACAAAGCATATAACTGCACAGTGATTTTAAGTCTGAGAAAACAAAGGCGAACATGGGAAGTCCTATGTCTACCAGTCTCACACATAGCAAGTGAGGATTTCATATATGGGGAGTTGATGTCTTGTCGTGCTGGTATAATGTATCGATAGTCTGTGTCTATTGGGGATATAACCAACGATGGCTACGCGAGTGGCCAATGAGCGCCTTTTCACGGCACTTTTACTCCGCCCGCATATCAAGAAATAGGTCTGTATAACTATTCATGCGAATATATGAGATGAAATGTGATCTCGAGACCACAATAGATGAGCATTCAGATGATTAATTACCTTGGTGAAGACACAGTCGGGCAAACCCAGCACAACTGTCTGCGAGAGCTCAAGGGGCTCACACGCCTGTATTGTAAAGACGCCGGTGCCACCAATCTCTAACTCACTGAATTTGGATTTCACGTGGACACAGGGGGTCTCGCTGGATTTTTCCGAATGCTTGTTATCTATAGTAGATGTATATATGTATTTCAATTGGTGGTACGTATGTTTGGGTCCCAAGCAAGAAGATAAAATAGGAAATAGAATAGACACAAAAGCAAAAATGGATTATATTTTTCAGCGAATCGCAAACCGATATATATATACATATATATATACTATAATATAAATAATTGTATATATAATATATATATATATATATATATATGTATATATATATATATATATATAGTATATGNATA